TACCCCTCGGTCTATCAGTTACCTTCTAGCCACCAGCCCATCTCCTCGGGGACATGTTCAAGGTCCTTCAAGGGAAGGAGGCAGCTGGCTGAGCCATCGAGTGCCCACCTGCCTGGCCCGTCCCAGACCCTTACCTGTGAACACCACGCCCAGGTCGGAGCTGCTCATCTCGATGCCCTTCTGCTGCAGGCGCGTCAGGTCCACCTCGAGGCTCTCCTGCTCTCGGTTCAGGTCCTCTCCCTCCACGGTGACCTCACACGTGTCCAGGTCGTGCACAATCTCTTCGGACACCAGGGACTCTTGAACTGCAAAGATAGCCAGACCAGACTGGGGAGCCTCGGGTGGCTGGTCCCGTCGGCTCCGATCAGGACACCCTACTGCTATCTGGCGAGGGAGGTAGGGCAGAGGGGCTTCGGCGTCGGTGAGGGGTCAGCCGAGTCCAGCGCATGCATCACCAGGAAGCCGGCGGCAGCAGGTGAGCGCCCCTGGCCAGCCTCATGTCTTTACTCTCCTTACGCTCACGCAGCCAGGCAGAGGGAAGATGCCACCTGACCTTGTTCTCGGGCAGAACCAGGCTCCACAACAGTAAGACAAACGGTCAATCCCCAGAGCCCTCCATGCCAAGGAGCCCGGGGACTCAGTGTCGGCGGGGCTGTTACCTGTGGGGTCCTCGTCCCCGTCGTGTTCGGGCTCCACTTCCCGAGTGATGGTGCTGATGATGCGAAGCTCGGGGAAGAGGAACACGCCCTCCGGGCTCTCGAATTCAGAGGCCGCCCGCGCAAAGTGGTGGACGCCGCTCAGGCTGATCTTGGGCTCCTCTGGCTGCAAAACCATCACGTAGCTGTCCACTGGGGGGATGGAGATGCAGGGGGCCTCGTTGAAGCACCTGCCAACGAGAAACGGAAGAGGGGCAGGGCGTTAGAGCGCTGGCTTTGGGGACGACTCGGAGAGAGAGTGGCCCTCGTAGGACACAGGCACACGGCTCACGGGCAGCATTCAAACCTCTCACTCAGACTCTGTCGAGAGAAGGCCCAACTTTTTGAAAAGCTCAATGAGACGTGTTTTCTTCTGGCTGTTTCCGTCGGGAATTAGGACATACTTGACTGCGCTGGTGATTTTGAGTCTCCGAATCCCAGGTGTGGGGAACTGGCGCGAGTTCAGGTAGGAGATGTGCTGCATGGCCTTATCCAACTCTCCGATGTCCTCTCCCTCCAAGGTCAATGCCGAGTGGCTGGGGTTCACTTGGATCTGAAACCAGGTCGAGGGGAGAGGGGAGGAGGTAAGGTTCCATCTGCAGGAAGCTGAGGGAGTGGATGCTCTGGGCAGAGGGGATTCGCTTGGGACCAATGTGAACTGGTAACATGAGAAAGAAATGCTTGCAAAATTCCAGATCAGGAAATCCGCTCTAAGAAGGTGGCCCTCTCTAAAGCTGAGAGGAAACACAGGAGGCTCCTGTCAAGTGAGGAGGGCGAGACCTGCTTGCAGCAGGCAAGCCCAATTCTAGGAAAGGACACGGTGGACAGGAGAGGGTCTGCGAAAACAAGGGCGGAAGGGCCTCTAGGAACAGGGTTCTCGGCCTTCCTCACGCCGCGACCTTCTCACACAGTTCCTCATGGGGTGGTGACCCTCAAACATAACATTATTGTCGTTGCTACCTCATCACTGTCATTTTGCTACTGTTATGAATCGGGCGACCCCTGTGAAAGGGTTGTTCGACCCTCAAAGGGGTCACAACCCACAGGTGGAGAACTGCTGCCCCAGGAGATGGACGCCCGGCTCCAGGGGCCACAGAATGGGCTCAGAGCAATCTCTGCCCGTGCTCACGAAGGCGGGGCGGGACCAGGCCCCGTTTCCTTTCACTCTGCTGTGCACGCGGACCAGGAGTGAGCCATGACTCGTGGGAAAGAACACGCACCATTTCTCAAGTGCAAACCTAGCCATCGTTCCTTGTCCGGACGGCCGTGATTAGCGGTTTACTCCTTAACTGTTGTTCGGTGCCATCAAGCTGGTTCCGACCCCCAGAGACCCCACACACAACATAACGAAACCCGGCCTGGTCCTGTGCCATCCGCACAACTGTCCCTGTGCCCGAGCCCAGTGTTGCAGCCACGGTGTCGGCCCACCTCCTCGAGGGCCTGCCTCTCCTTCGGTGCCCCTCTACCCTACTTAACCTGATATCCTTCCCCCTGACGACCTGTCCACAGCATGTAAGAGCCAGTCTCGCCATCCTTGCCTCCAAGGAGCACCCTGCCGTATTTCCTCCAAGACAAGACTGGTTTGTCCTTTGGGCCGTCCATGGGCATTCCAATGTTCTTCTCCAGCCCCGAGCTCAAGTGCATTATTTCCTCAATGCCGGCTAAGTAAGCGGTCGACATCCTGGCCAGGGTTACCTTCAGGCCCTTGCTGCTGTCTTCTAGGACTTGCAGGTCTAGCCCCTCCTTGCAGGTATATAGACAATCGATGACCTTCTTATCAGCGACTTTCCCAGAGCGGATTGTGAGGCCAGCCAGGTTCCCTCGGAAAAACTGAGTCATATGCAGGTCACCACCTTTGGGAGGGGGAAAAAGTGAGACGTTACAGGGGCAGCCAGAGCCTTCTGCTTCGCTTCCCTATGCAGTGTTACCGGTGGTGGTGGTGGCGGCGGCGTGATGGATGGACATGCACGTTAGTTCACACCAAACCCTGTTAGCCTTGCGGTCACATGGAAGCAATGAAGAAATTAAACTGGATGATCATGCAGATGGCCTGGCGGGAAGAAGAGGCGGGGTCCCTGGCCTACGCCCTGAAGCAGGTCCTGTGAGTGTCCCCTCACAACTGGCCACCCGCTGGCCAGGACAGGCTGCACCTGCCACCGCCTGGTGCAGAAGGCCGATGCCTAGCACTGGGTCAGCAGTGGCTCCCTCCCTTCTCGGCTGGGCCACACTGTGGCCGCTCTTTCTGGCTGAGCAGACTTGGGGGAGGGGCACAAATTGGGAATGACCAAAGCAACAAAGATAGGACCCAAATGCTGCTTAACGGGCATCCTTCAAGTCTCCACTGACAGAGGCTGACGGGGGAGAGGGTAATCCGAAGGGAAATCCAATCTTGAAAGGCTCCTGGGCCAGTGAGCCCAAAAGGGTGAAGCGACCCCGATTCTAAGCTGATGGAAAAGGGGGGAGATTCTCAGCAGCTGGTCTCCTGTCCCCATAAGGACTTTAGACCTTGGGTGCTGGTCATCGCTGGGGTGGGGGGGGGAGGAGGCTTCTACCAATATTAAAATCAATACAAGCCTTTCCTGTCTCCTGGTTCAGCCCCAGGAGACCCACCGGTTGATGCCTAACCCCCGTCCCCCAACTTTCCCTGGAGAGGTCAGCAGGCCCTCATGCAGCGGGGTCAAGGCACAATATGATTCAGGAAAACGGAAGAGTTCCGTTAGTGCAGCGCATCAGCGAGCCCAGAGCCCCCGTCAATCAGGCTGGGATTCAAGTGGTTGGAAGGGGTCCCATGGGGCAGTGGGAAGCAAGATGCAGAGACAAAGACAGCAGCTCAAATGTGTGGGAGGCAAGATGGGGCCGGGCATTTCATGCGCAACATGGAATGAATCAATGTCTTTGTAAGGGGACCGTGAGCGTGAACTGGAGGGAAGGAACCCAGCCACCTGCAGGGGCCATGGCCACGGGCTCGGTCTCATTGTCAGTCTCAAGTCCTGAAAGCTCTGCGGGAAGCAAGACAAAGACAACAGAGCGGTACCAGGTTAGGGCCTTCACACTGGACAGGGCTGCCCGGCACACAGAGGGACCCGCCCACCCTGCCCTCTTGGGGACAGGCTCCGCCCAGGCTAATGCTCACCCATGGCCACCTCTTCCCAGGACACATCTAGGCGTGATCCCATCTTCCCACACCCTCTGGGCAAGTGGCCCTGAAGACCTGCCCCACCCCGTCCCCTCCTGGTAAAGTACACAATTCACAATGCTTACAAGCTGCCAAGAGCTAACCAGAGATTCCAGAAGGAGGGGGGTGCTCTTCTTTGAGGTGATCCAAGGTGGAGGGCAATAACCATAGGGCCTCACCCTCCCTGGGCCCCATGCACCCCAGCATGCAGACACACACACACACACACACACACCCATGTCCGCTCACAGGTCTGTTTCTTGGTCAGTTCACCTAGGGGATGGAATTCCATCCTCTCCTATCCATCTCAATTACCACGAAACCAGCCCCAGGGGGGAACATCTGTGATTGACTGAGAGCAACAGACCTGCCCGGACTACTTCCTTTCCAATTCTCAATGCATATCCCCTTGTGTCAGATTCAAAACCACACAGACAGAGATCCACGACTAAATTCTCAATGCAGATCCCCGTGTGTCAGATTCAAAACCACACAGACAGGGGTCCATGACTGAATTCTCAATGCAGACCCCCGTGTGTCAGATTCAAAACCACACAGACAGGGATCCACAACTGAATTCTCAATGCAGACCCCCGTGTGTCAGATTCAAAACCACACAGACAGGAGTCCACGACTGAATTCTCAATGCAGACCCCCGTGTGTCAGATTCAAAACCACACAGACAGGGGTCCACGACTGAATTTTCAATGCAGAACCCCGTGTGCCAGGTTCAAAACCAGACTGACAGGGGTCCATGACTGGATGCACTGACGGCACAGCCTGTGCTGCCGACCAAGATGCACTAGGAGACTGACCGTGGCCACCGTGTGCCCGCGGTGACCATCGGCACACTTGGACAGGCAGAAAGGAAGAGACTGCAGGCATGGCGGCTGGCTAGGGTTGGTGCCTAAATAAGCCTGGCACAGGATCAGCTTGCAAAAGTCTGTACTTTTTATGGCTCAGGACAAGTCCACACCCGGCCAATGAAAATCATGAGAACACTTTCTCTGAGAGGGACGGAGACAGAGGCGCGTGGGTTGAATGCCAGGATGTGAACAAGAAGGGCGATGGTCTGTGCCTGCCAGCTGCTCTTCAGAGAGCGCCCGGCTATCACTGCGTTGAAAATCCTAAGGGGGCATCTACCCTCCGCGATGGCAGTGGGTGTGGTTTGTTTGGAGGTAGAAAAAGTAAGAGGAAGATGAAAAGGCTACTTGGTGGTGACATGAGCGGAAAGCGACGTTCACCTTAACAGAAGCAATCACACTCTCAAAATGTAACATTATCCCTTAGGGAACCTGTCCCCTTGATCACTCTCCTTTTAAAAATTTGCCAGAGATTATTGTCTAATTTGGGAACTAACTCTGACTTCGGAAGCAAGGTCCAGACCCCTAAGGGTCTGTCCTGCACTCTGTCGTCCGGGCTGACGCTGAAGAGGGCAGGCTGCTCTCAGATGCCAGCCGACTCCTTTCATTTCAGGGGATCCTCAAAGGAATCCGGAAATTGGATTTTCCTAAAAGGAGCCCATCTGTCTTGGAGACCAGGTTCTCGCATCACGCGGGCTCCCAGCAGACTAAATCCTCGACAAGCCTCCTTCTGACGGAGGCCTGCCTGTGTTTCTGTTGTTGTCCTGGTGGGGTTTCTCTTCGTATGTGTCTCTTTATGCGAAACCCAGGAGAGGTCGATCGACGGAGACAGAGGGCACTACCAGCGGAGGCTGAGGGCGATAGGGAGCCAATAATAAGCAGGACAAGGATGAAGAAAAGGTTCTCATATTGTGATAATTGCACAACTCTTTTCAACGCATTTAAATCACTGAGTTGGATGCAACGTGAACCAGATGTTGATAAAAACTGTGACACAGAACCCCACCCCTGAGCCCACGTCCTGCCTCCGAGTTCAGCCGGCAACAATATTCCACCAGGGGGCTGAGGGCCCGGGAACACGGATGGCTAAGAGTGAACGCTTATGTTCTCGAACGTTCAAAATGTGGTGCTACCTTCGGTTACAAACGCAGGCCAGCCCCACCAGAGACACCGGTGGACACCACCGACGGCCTCACACCTCGCTGTCCGTGGCTGGGGATGGTGCAAACTATAGATTCTGCTCCTCCCTACTTGGACATTGTTGGCAGTCCTCAGGCTCACTGCTAAACCTTGATTTTTTTGTTCATGAATTCGCACGCACAGGTAGTCCCCCACCTACAACACACGAAGGTTTCGAGAACCGGGCTCAGGGGTGTGTGCTGAGGGCACTTTCTGGTCCATCTTAACCCTCAGTAATGTGCACCACAGTGGCAGCATGGGATTTGGCTGACGCTGTCATCCTCCGATGCCCACGTCGGATGCTCGGAGATGGGAGGCTCAGGAACCTGTACTAAGGGGATGAGGATGAGTACTAAGACGGGGGAATGGAGGTGGGACAGTCGTCCGAAAGGGGCCCCATCGTGAGATGGGAGTAACCTGTGTAATGCGACCTCACACATTTATTCTTCTAGATTTCTGCTAACTGTTAAGGAGCCCTGTTGGTGCAGTGGGTCACGTCTTGGGCTTCTAACCACAAGGTGAGGAGTTCAAAACCACCAGCCACTCTATGGGAGAAAGAGGAGGCTTCCTACTCCATGAAGAGTGACTGTCCCAGAAACCCACAGGGGCAGTGAGCGGAATATACCCAGAAGGGACGGCAGGGAGTCTGGTTCATCCCCAGGAGCCCTGGTAGGGTAGTGGGTCACTGTGTGAGCACTAACCAGAAGGCCAGTGGTTTGACCCCATCAGCTAGTGCATGGAAGAAAGATGAGGCTGTCCAGCCCTGTAAAATTTTAAAGTCACGGTGTGGCAGTGACGGTATCTCCTGTCGACTTGAGGAAGGGGTGGGATCTAGCCTGTTAATCAGGTCACAGCTTGGCTACCTCAGCTCACAGAGGGCTTCTGCTTTGTCTCCCTGCTGATAAGCCACATGGAGCTATGCTGATAAGAGCCAGAGCCCTGGAGCTGGAGGAGCCACGTGGAGACCTATGCCAGCACTGAGATGCTTCCACCACCACTGGATCCACAAGACTTTCCACCCACTGCCCTGTGATCTTCCTGCATTTGGTGTCATTGCATGTATTGTGTGACTCTGAAGAGGAATTTATAGACTAGTATCAGACATAGCGGCTATTATCAGACTTATGGACATGATTGGGACTGGGCTGGGATGTTTTCTCAATATACAATTGCTCTTTTATATAAAGCTCTTTCTTATACACATGAGTCTCCCTGGATTTATTTCTCTGGTCTACCCAGACTCACATACGTGGAAGTGCAGAGAGGCCATTCTACTCTGTTCTGCGGGATCGCTGTGAGTCAGAATCCACTGGATGGCAGTGAGTGAGCTTGCTTGTTTGGGGTCCTGCCTTTTAGGAGCCATGGTGGCACTGCCAGGTAAGTGGTGGGCTGCTAGCGGCTAGGTTGGCCCAAACGACAGGAGAAAGACAAGGCTGTGTGCCCCATAAGGTGCGCTGCCTCAGTTCCTCGGATCAGAATCCACTGGGTGACAGGGTGCTGGTGCCTCTGACATCCTGGGGGCTTTTATTGTCTGCATTGAAAAACAACAATTCTGAGAAGGGGTCCAAATGCCCACGGGGCCATCCAGGGGACCCCTGGTCTGGTGGTATAGAGACGGGTCCCAAATACTGGCCTCCTGGGCTCAAATCCTCCCTCCGAGACACATCAGCCATGAGCCACGTTACTTCATGTCTCCAAGTCCCGGGGCTGCGGGTGTGAACCAGGAGAAGGCGAGCTTCTAGCTCGTGTGGTGTGGTGGGCCACGGGGTCGACCCCGGCTCCCAGCGGCCCTTGTGCACGGGGTCACTGTGAAGACTAAATGAGGTGACGTATGCAGTCAGCACGCAGCCAGCTCGCCTTCTCCACTCGGTAAGCATGCAAGTGAGCTGCGCTGCCTGTCAGCATGGCCCCGAGGGTCTCTTCAGAAACCCAGGCCTCTCACACGCTCCACGGGGGAAAGACAGCCCCGGCTTGTCCCCGTTTACCCCTTGGCAATCTGACTTCCGGGGCATCTTCCTTGAGGAAGGTCAGCAGTTCCTTCCCAGGGGCCCCACCGGGCGACCGGCCAGGCGCTCCACATGCCGGCGAAGCCCCCAGCTGTAGTTGTGCCAAAAGCCCCGGTGTCTCTCGGGCGGCTGTCTCTTGGCCCTTGGAAGCTTGTCAATGAACAGTTCATTTACCCAGCAGTCCCCAATTACGCCCTCCCACTGGGCAGGGGTGGGTGTGCTTCTGTCCCAGGCCACACCTCCGGGGAGCCCATTAAGAGCTACGCTAGAACTCAGCGCCAGTGGAGTCCCCAACAAAACAGAGGGTGAAGAAACAAGGGACAGGAGGTCGGGACCCCTGTGACAGTGCATTCCCAATGATAAGGTAAAACGCCAGGCTTTAATTTCTGGCATCGGGGATGGGGCCGTCGACGGTGTTACCTTGCCAACAGGCTCCAACCACGAGCTGGGTCTCTATCCGGGACGGGTGAAGCGGGTAATCCGCCATGACGGAGAAGGGCTCGTGCTCGGCGCCGTCCAGGTGCAGCGTCACGCTGGGCAGCTCCACGTTGAGGACATAGTGGTGCCACTCACTGTCGCAGACCTACGGGAGGCCGAGGGGCGGGACGGTCAGCCTTCCCCCTCATCCAGAGGCACAGCCATGAGGCCGGCACCGCCAGACTCGGGAGACTGGTTGCCTAGGAAGGATGCCGGTCTCCTTACAAAAGATCTGTCAAAACTTTTTGCAACAGAACAGGAAAACATTGTATAAATACATATCACCAGATGGGGCCAAGGAAACTCCACCCCTGGGGATTTCAAACTGGTTCATGCAGGTAGCTCACCCATCGTATTATGGGGGGCCGGCAAAAGGGAGCTGCCCAGTTCTCTTCTGCAGGAGCTTGACACCCCTAAATTTTCCTGCCAGCAGATAGGAACCCCATCCTCCAACAGGCCTGCCTGCTAACTGGCCATTCCACTTCGCGAGGGCAGTTCACAGCACCTCAACCACAGAACGAGGCAGTAAAGCCTGCTCTCCTCACCCTCTCCCTGCCCCCAAGTCCATGCTGAGGGTCTAGGGCAGGTAAGCCTGACCAGAGCTCAGCCGGCACTGCGCCCGGGGAGCAGTTACTTCTGTGGGTCACAAACGAGGACCTCCCCTACCCTGCCCAAGCCGGTCCGAGGCCCCTTTGCACTCGGTCTCGCGTGGTTTGGGTCGATTGAGGAAGAGGCCGACACGTCAACAGAGAGGCAGAAAAAGCAAGAGTGTGGTGCCTGCCTTCCAATCAGGTTCTAAAGCAACATACTGCTTAAGATACGTGTATTGCCCGCTTTTAGTGAGAGTCCAAAAATCTTAGCCAATGGGACCGGAGACTTGGAACAGATCCTGAACATCCTAGGGAAGGCAGGAGTGGTCCCGTGACACCCCTGCCCCTGGAGGGCGCCTTGGAGGCAAACTCCCAACTTCTAAGGAGTGAAGCCCCCATGCTGATGGGGACTATCTGTCCTTTCCAAATGAGGGAGGGCACACAAGCCCAGCGGTTAGCCAGACGGAGCTAAGTGCAGGCTGAAATGCCTCCTGGGAACAACCTCTGGCATACCAATCCACAAGTCATGTGATGCCCCTAGTTTTGGGGTTGTTTTTTTTTCCTTCTCAACTGCAGGTGTCCACGGGATTAGCAATGCAGCTAAACCCTAGTTGTATTCCATCACAACCCACCTACGTATGCTGACGAGAGAGCAGCAGAATCAGCCTAGTTGTTCCATGTTCTCCAAAAACTGCCTGACTGAAAGCCAATGCCAGACATCTACAACAAGACCAGTAACATGGTCATCCCAGGATGAAAGGTGAGGACAGACACACCCTGAGGGCCACAGCCCCCGCGAGTTAGTTAGCATGGGCCCGGGGCGGGGGTGGGGGGGTGGGCATGGGGGGCAGGTAGCAGGAAGGCTCCGTCTGGATGGACCTGAGATGAAGAGAGCCTGCAGAGAGCCCACGGTACTCCCTGGAAAGTGCCAGACCATGGGAGGTGGCAGCTGCGGCTGATGCACACTGAGTGACAGGTGGACAGACCCAGGCGGCCCTGGAGGGGCTGTGGTTAGACACCATCCGGGGAAAGAGGTGGCAGTTGGCTTCCGTACGGACTGCTGCCTAGGTCCCCCTGTAGGGTAGCTCTGCCCTGTCACCTGGGGTCGTTGTGAGTTGGGGCTGACCTGACACCCCTACCACTGCAGGTTTGTGACAAAGCTGGTGGGCTACAGCAGCCCGGAGCCTGAGACTCCTCCAGGCTACTCTTGGAGGGCAGTGCCCGAGGGGAGGGGGCGCGAATGCTCAACACAGACTCAAACAGCAGCACAGGGCACTGGGACGAGGCCACAGTCCTGAGAGAAGAGGCTGCTGCAGAGAGGGGTGGGAAATGGCATTTTTTCACATTTCAGGAAAGCAACAGCAGAGGGGGCTCAAGAGCCAGAAAGCTGGAGACGCCATGCTGGTCCTGACCAGCCTCATTGGAAAAAGAATTTTTTTTAAGTATAAGAAGGACATCATGCTTGGTAAAAGCAACAAAACCCACCAACCTCACTGCCACTGAGTCGATGCCAACTCACAGTGACCCTCCAGGGGGCCAGGCTAGAACCGCCCCGTGAGCTTCTGAAATAGTAACTCCATGGGGCAGGAAGTGCCATCTTTTCCTATGCAGTGGCAGGTGGTTTTGAATTGCTGACCTTGCATTTAGCAGTCCAATTTGTAACCACTATGCCACCAGGGTGCCTGCGGTTACAGCAGGTGGCCAGGGTGGACAAGGAGGGCTCTCGACAAGGGGGCTGTCACAGTGGCGATCAACAATGGGCTCGAGCGTAAGAACAACGGGGAGGCCGGTGCAGGGCTGGGTCCCGGGGTCGCTGACTAACCACCACCACCACCACCACCGGGAAAATGACCTTCCTGTGGGAACAGGGCCTGGTCGATGGAGAACCACAATTAAGTCTCATATAAACATTTTACAAGGAAAGAGAGAAGTAAGGAAAATCACATGCCCGAGGACAATGGAAGCAAACCGGAAAGAGAAGAACTAAGGGCCGTAATCTTGCGCATCAAAGATGCCCCCAGCTATTAAGAAGATACCACAACGCATGAAAGCACACCGCGACTCAGAAACGGGGGGTGGGCAGCAGGAGAGAAGGCAGCGGAAACGGGGGACAGGTGAAGCACATACCGCACACCGTCACACAGAGGAAGTCCCAGAGAAGAGAAGCAAACCAATGGCAGAGAACAGGGACTGAAACTTTAACAGTGGTGCCATCAGTCTATTTTCTAACTCTCCCGAAACAGCAGAACACCTGGAAGCTGCACCCTGAAAAAACAGCCTGTGTGGGGAACCGACTCAGGACCAGCAGCACATTCACAAAACTACCTCGAGGGGAAGAGAAATTCCTGGGGCACACGAGCAAACTGAGCGACTCTCTGCCAAGGGGCAGGAACTCAGGCGGATTGTGAGCATTCAGTAGCCACATTTTATGTCGGAGAACGATGGGAAGCCATTCTCCTTTCTCGTCCGTCGTACACATGAACCAGGGACTTTGGCCTTCAGTATAAGGCCAAAGATACACTGAAACCGGCCCTCAGGGTAAAGCCCTCCTGTTAAAAGCCATGGAAGCAAGAATGGTGGTTCTCACAAGCCCTTCCAAGCTCACAACTCACACATCCCAAACGCAACCAGAGCCAGCGTCACAAGACCGCGGGCACAGAGCAGGGAGGCTCAAAGCTACTTAAGTCGCTAAGAAGGAACAGCCGGGCATGCACCTCCCGACGGAGGACAGAAATGCCACCCCCCAAGCAGTCTTGCCAAGACACACAGGCAAACCTGAATCGGACCAAGGCTTCCAATCCCTCTACCATCCTACAGGGCATAGAGAGGGTAGATGGAGCCCTGGTGGCATCATGGGATATATCCTGGGCAGCGGTTCAAACCCACCAGCCACTCCTTGGGAGAAAAATGAAGCTCTCAGTCCCCATAGAGATTTTCCGCTCCAATTAACCACGGGGGCAGGTCCACCCTGTCCTACAGGCTCCCTGGGGACCAGGGTCAACTCGATGCAGCGAGTTCAGTTTGGCTTTTGTTTAAAGAGGACACTCATGTCAGAGGACTCGTGGGGGTTACAGCCAGACAAAGGGAAGAAGAGGAAGACGGAGGGACTCTACAGACTGAAAAGATAGGAAAAAAAAAATCTCTAAAAGTTTATCGGGGAATCACAGTGGTGGCCCTTATTTGGACCCTGATTCAAACACCAGTGAAAACAAAAATGCTTTTGCGAGAGCTTAAAATGTGAACCTTGACTGGGTATTGGATACGAAGGAGTGCTTACTTGTTAAGCTGTGAAAAGGGTCCTGAGATTTTGGTTATCTTTTAGAGATAAGGAAATGTTTAGAAATAAATGGTTGCCTCCCCCCCACTCCCCCAGGATTTGCCTGAGCATTATTAACGGTGGGGCAGGTGGGCAGACTGAAGATGACAGGAGATCCAACACAGGGGTTCACGGGTTCGTACACGGGGGATTGCAGTCATCCTGCATGAGCTGAAGGGTGACACAGCAGGTCATCAGTCTTTCAACTCGTGTTCTTCACGAGTCCCACTTTCTCCCTGTGTCTGCTATTTCCATTCCTCCTCTCCTGACCCTCTGTCGCTGGGTAACGGCTGCCCTTTGGATCTGAAATGGTTGATTGTTCCAGCACGGGGTGAATGCAGTTCCTGACCTGAAGGGGTACCAAGGGCCATGGTCTTGGAGGTGCCATCCGTCACTACAAAACTCGAGAGCCCAGTCTTTCTTACAATGCCGTGTCCAGCCCCACTGTTCCTCCCACTCCATCCAGGGCCTTCCAAGAGGACCCCTTTGTGAGCACCGGGAGTGGCAGCCGGGGCCCAAGTAGCCTTCTTTCTGGCGCAGGGTGGGGAGACTGCGGTTTGTGGGGTCCGTCAGTCCGCTGCTGCACTAAAGGTTTCCCTGCGCCTCCTGTTCTCATCGCACTTCTCCCCACATGGGGAGAGACCAAGAGTTGCACCTCACAAGCTTTTAAGACTCAAGTCACTACTTAACGTATTAAGAGAGCACTGTCTATGTGGACTGTTATACCGATCTACCTTGGTGTCCCCTAAGGCTATGGTCCTGATCACGGGGCTATTCTTTACACCACTCCGCCGACTTCCATAGATATTGTCCATAAGGAAGTTAAGAACCGCTGACGTGCAGACGATGGTTTACAGCAGGCCTGCACCTGCAACGCCTCCTCCACGCTGCAAAACACTTCTCTGACCTCTCTTTGGTTTCTGGAGGGGGGGAGGAGCTTTTTGGTGTCAGCAGCCCCTGAAGCTGCCCCATTGCCTCGAAGGGCCATTTCTGACGTGCTAGGAGTCTGGCTCCAGCATGTGCAGGAAGAGCGGCGTTACAAGACAGGCCACTGCTGGGAGGGATGTGGGGTCCTACTGCTCAAGAGCAGAAGACGTCGATGCAGCCAGGTGTGCAGTGTCTGCCAGACCGCCGGCTCCTTACAACAAAGGTTTTTTTTAAAAATCCCAGGATGCTGCAGAGGTGCTCAGACCATGTGGGCACTGGGTCCAGAAGCTGAGGCCCTAAATCACGGATAAATGAATGCAATGGCTCTAAGTGAATGTGCTCGCTTCGATAAAGGATAACGCTTTTTGAAAACATACCCTTCACTCACGTCAACATGTTAGGTTTAAAAGACACCCCCCAACAGAACTTAGGCTGTGGGTGGACTGGCATGAAGGGGATTGAATTTGATTGAATTTGCTTTCCTTTTGCACACACACACACCACCACCACCACCACCCTCAGCCCACCAAAGGGTGCTGCGGCCCTCATCAATGGTCTCTCGGAAGCCCCGATCGCGAGCGCGTTTTCCATTCCCTCACCTGGCTCAGCTTCCAGTGGAACTCTGCTGGCTTGTACTTCTTCTCCTCGGCAGGGTCCTGGCGGAGGAGGAAAACGAGCCGGCAGCCGTGGACGTAGAGTGAATAGTGGTGCCGGTTCATGTCTACAAAGACAGGGCCTCTGTAAGTGGCCAATCCAAGGCCCAGGGGGGAAATCAGTGGCTGGTCTCGTGGGTTTTGAGACACGGCTTTATCTGCACAGATCACGCGTCTCCACGTGGGCCTAGGCAGGGCTTACAAGCACATCCATGTAGGTTTTACTGGCACGTGAGGTCCAAGATCACCATGGACAGTCCTCTGATTAAAGTCCACGAATACTGAAGCTGTCCTGTAAGGACACGGCCCCGCACGACATGCAGAATGGCGTGAACCAACATGCAGGCTGTCTGGCGCCTTGGGGAGAGGACACTGAGCCTGTGCCCAGGGGCCGGGGCAGCGACAGCGAGTGGCCAGGACAAGTGGGAGAGCATGACACCGGGCACAGGGAAACGTGCCTACCTGTTTTGTCCGAGCTGCACAGAATGGTCTCCTTCGTCCTGCTGAAAGGCCCGTGCCGCATCCACACCGAGATCGTGAAGGGCTCTCTGGGGTGGACGGCGACGATGCCGTCTGGGATCCTCACCGCCTGTGTGCCGTTGAACTCGAACACTTGGTCGCTGTCATGGCCGTTGTCGGTGGGGAGGCCAGCGGTCCAGTTCAGGGCGCTGCTCGGGGAGGGCAGCAGCTCGGCGGGGCCCGGGGCGGCACCTGGAATACAGCGGGCTGATCACAACGTCGGAGGAGAGCCCGGAGAACGTGGGACGGCAAGGTATCCGGCGGCTGCTTCCCGCTGACGCCTCCTTGGAAAGTAGAGACTTTGTGACCGAGAAAGTATCACTGCCCACGGTTTATGTTTGTTTTCTTTTAAGAAAAGATGTTACCAAAGAAGTGCACCCACCATTAGTGATTAAGTATAAACGCCTCTAATCCTTTCCTCAATAAACATGTACACATAAATCTGTTTATAAAAGCAAAGTCATGGTGCCATATGTGTGCCCAGCAATTGCCTTCTACAGACAAACAAAAAAGTTCCCCACACGTGGATCTCGACCATGGTGCCCCGTGGGGCTCAGGGCAGAACTGCACTCCCCCCTGGGGGGCTCAGTGGCTGGTTTTTCCAAAGCTCATCTCACCAGGCCTTTCTGCCAAGGGCCTCTGGGTGGACTTGAACCTCCAGCCCCTCCATCAGTGAAGGGCAGTGTGCTAACCACCTGCAGCACACATCGACATGAAAGATCATTTCACTTTGGGGGGCCCCCAGCATCATTTAGACGGAGCCCTGGTGCTGCAGTGGGTACAATGTGGGCTGCTCACCCACAAGGTCGGCAGTTTGAATCCAGCAGCCCCTCCTCAGGAGTCAAAGCTTTCTACTCCTATGAAGATTTCCAATCTCAGAAACCCAGAGGGCCAGTCCCACCCTGTGGAGCTACGGGGTCACTGTGAGTCGGCATCAACACTCTGGCAGTGAGAACATCATCTGATTGGCCTGAGTACCATTTGGCTGTAGAGACGCTCATTTATTTCCTGTCCCTCCGTGGCAGATGCCGGCATGCTCCATTATAAGCCTCACCTGGATGAGCAGTGCCACTGTGATAATTAGGATAGGTAGCTAGATACTGAATTGCTCAAAAAGCATGAAGACAAAAATGTTTTAAAACAACTTTTGTTCCATGTTGCCAAAGCTCAATTTTTCTCTTCAGCTTTTTCCTCACAAAGATGCATGCCTCGGCCTTTCTGGGACTGGTCCTGGTCGCTCCATCCCGAAGAACACATGACTTGGCTGGGCCACCTGCTCACAGAGGCTTCAGTTCTAGTCCCCGCTCTGCTACTTCCTGAAAGTCTGGCCAGGGCCGGTTAGGGGACCTCCTCGGGAAGAACACACTCCACACACACAGCCTGGGGGGCAGCTGTCCCCCACAAACGCTGACCTCACCGCGACCCTACAGGACACAGTAGCACTGCTCCTGGGAGCTTCCGAGACAGACTCTTTATGGGAGTAGAAAGGATCGGTTAGTAGGTTTGAACTGCCGACTGCCCGCCGGCAGCACCAGGGGCTCCTTATCCAAGGGCAGGGTGGGACAGTGCACCCTGCAAAGGGGCCTTCCGGCAGCTCTTGGGTCAGAAGATGCTCCTGCTTTCAGAGCGGCCACCCAGGAGACCCATTCTTCCTCATCCTCTCCATCTTCCACCGGAAAAGCCCGCACCTGACCTTGCTCTCAATGAGGCAGCCAGGAAAGTGTCCCTGATTGCAGGGACAGAGGGAGTCTTTGGGGGTCCCATTCACAGAATTCCAGCTCTCCATGTTCCCACACCAGGCCTGTGGCACCTTCTGTTGAGATGAGGTGAGATACAGGTATGCTTAGTTTTGTTTTTCTACTTCATGTTCGCTGAAAGCTACTGGGCTGCCTACGTTTAAAAAGAAATCCTTAAATAAGCATCTCATCTCATTGCATTCTCCTAAAACTCAGGCGCATGGTGGCGATTCAGAAGATTCCCAACTCGATGGCAGTGGGTTTGGTTTTCGGGGTGCACCTGAGGGGCACATTCACTTTCTTCAAACACTGGTTCCTCATCTCGTGGCAG